GGTCTTATGAGTCTCACGAAAAACTATTGGTCTCACATGATCCCAAGTCTCATTTTTTAATGTACATATACATACGTCAATTAATCTTGGTCGACCCTGACCTTTTTATAAATCGATTAACCTCTTGAAATAAGATCTCGTTTCCTTTTCAACCAACATTATATATATTTTGGGTATATCCCTTTGTTTTACTTTGTTATATATATATATATATATATATATATATATATATATAATATAAAGGCTGGTTCAAATGCTAACCAAGATTATCGTGTTAACTTTGTTAACCGATCTTGACCGTTAATTTGAATAATAAACAGTTGTGATTTAATAATATTTAAAAATTAATATTTTCAATTAACATATGTGAACAAAATATCAAAGGGTATTTAGATAAAAAATAATCTATCTTTAATAAACGAGTTGTCAGACATATGAACAACTTGTGTATATCTTCAAACCACATCAAACAAAAAAGATTAGACATATGAACAACATGTGAACCGTATGAACATCTTATGTATATTTAGGAGCCAACTCTGCTGTATGTACATGAACACCTATGAACCACGACATCTAGGTTTGTGTGTTTTCATACGTGTTCACATGTTTTCACATGTTCTCTGTGTGTGTGTGTGTGTGTGTGTATGTATTCATATGAACATCTAGTGACTTGAATATACATGAACACTTATGAATCACGACATCTAAGGCTGTGTGATTTCTGATGTATTCATATGTCAAATGTGAGAACTATCGATTAAAATAAATGTGAATTATAGAACATGAACACGTGTGAAACCGCCCAATGTCAATATTGCATCATGATCAATTGTGATATTTTCAAATTTGTAACTCCCAATTAATTATTTGGGAGTTACATAAAATGACAAATTACTTAAATACCCTTGTATTTAATATATGAGTTACATTTGAACCAAATGAAAAGATGGAATATGATTGGTTGAGCTTGGTTAACATAATTAACACAAAAAAATTGTTTAGTATTTGAACCAAGCGCTCTCTCTCTCTCTCTCTTTATATATATATATATATATATATATATATATATATATATATATATATGAAATTGATTGTAAAAATAGTTTGGCATGTGAGGAGAGCATATGGTGGTGACAAGGGAGTTGGGATCTGAAGACATGCATCAGAGTCATGAACTGATAGCATGGGATGGATGATGATAAAGCAACAAAAGACACAGGGGCAGGGGCAGGGGCATGGGCTCCTCCTCGTAGTATATTTTGCTTCATTCTGCTCACCCTTTTAATTCATCCATCTTTCACTTTGTAACAGGACTTGTCATATATACCATGTGACACCAATATTAAACCCTAAATCATACTCTCTATATATACACACACACATATATATATATATATATATGTATATATATATATGTATATGTATATATATATATGTATATGTATATATATATATGTATATGTATATATGTTCAGGGAAAAGACCAAAAAATGAAAAAAAAACTTATTATAAACATTGTGGTAACCATTCATTTGGAGGGAATGCACGTGTGTATGTAAGTAATTGAAGTTGTTTCTTGGTTTTTATACACATGCACATGCTATACATATGTGTGTATCAGATAAGTTACTTGTATGCACACACACACATATATATATATATATATTGTCAGATAAATGGTTATCAAGGTGTTACTTAGTTTTTCATTCTTTTATAGGTTTTTCTTTGAACTTGACCCTATATATACATATTAAAACGATTGATTAATATACAAAAGTTTTAAAATGAAGATATGTGAATAATAATGATAATACAAAGATGAATCTTCTGTATCACATTAAACCAACCCTATCAATAACCTTTTTTAAGATCTTGAAACCAAATCCAAGAGCCGTTTGTCTCTTGATGTATTTTTTTTATTAACCTAGATATACAATCTGTTATGCGAGCTGACTAATCGTAGGGAGACCACCTGCTTTGCAGGTAACCCGGAGTCATCGCATTTGAACCCCCGTGGCCATGAGGAGATTCTTATTTCTCCTTGGATTTGAACCCGAGACCTTCAGATACTTTTGATCTTTCGAACCCAAATTCAAACCAATCAAACACCACTCTTGATGTATTTTTGGGAATATATTGAACAATTATACAAATGAAAGATTCAATCACCAAACCACATGATCTTTAACTTTTCGACGGGAAAAAAAATTCTCCACTACTTTGTCACCGGCTACTGGTTTTCATAGAGCAACATTTTTGTCTTTTAAAATAGAAGAAAATTTTGCATACATCTTATCTTTCTAAACCTTATAGTCCCAGCATTTGCAAAACTTCTAATTCATACAAATCATTCTTAACTCTCCATCTACTCTAATTAATATCAGGTTCCATAAATACCTTGATTGTTTTCTAAGCTAAAACATTAATGATCATATCATTTTTCATAAATATCTCAATTATATTAAATGAAACCTCACAATTTTTAATAAATATCTTAATTGTTTGTTTTGTATAAATTATGAGGTTTGCAAACTATTAGGAACATATACGTGTGTGTATATATATATATATATATATATATATGTAGTGTGTGTGTGTGAGAGAGAGAGAGACTTAGGGAAGACCCAAAAAATTTAGAAAACTGGAGAACATTCTAATAACCATTCATCTGTACGATATACATGTGTATATAAGTAATTTCTCCGGTATGCACATGTATATACACATGCCCACGTGGATAGAAACAAGGATACATATTAATTACATGCATATGCATATTGTACAAATGAATAACTAATTGGTTGTTGTTCAGTTTTTCAATTTTTTATGATTTTCTAAACCAAACCCTATATATATAAAATATAAATAAAAAGTATAATTGATTTTATTTGGTTTATGACAATGGAGGTTTAGTTTTGTTTATGTTTTGTTGTGAAATTGATTGGTAATCTTTATGTAGCAAAGAAGGCAAGAATTGGGTTTCTGAACATGAAGTGTTGACTCAACAATTTCAAGATTAAGTTTCCAGAGGGTCTTGGGTCAGTGTGTACAAACATGTGCATTGCCCTTCTGCTACACACTACTTCACCTGCAACCATAAAAACCATTTCTACCTGTTTTTTTTTTTTTTAATAAATAAACCATCATGAATTTTACCCCATTATTTTTCAATTTATGTTTAGGTAATACATAAATAAAAGACTCGGGTTTTTTAGGAACTCGGGGTTAATTTAACGATGTTAGGGACAAGTCGTGTAATTACCTCTTTTTAACTGAAAAGGAAAACGATTCATTTACTGTAAAAATGAAGAGTTGGGCTTAAACGAGAATATGATCAATATAAAAAAAAAAACAAGAGAACGCCTATATCATGTGATTTTAGACTGAAATCAAATCACATGTGATTTAGGTTCGTTCAACGTTGTTAGGTCGCTAGGCCAAGCACATGCGTGCTCTCTTTGTGTCGTCTGAACCTGAATCACATGTGATTTTTAGTCTAGATTAGGTGTTATCCTTGTTTGAACATTTATATAAAAATAAATGCATACATAAACGGGCTTGAACTATAAAGTATACTACGATGAGAGAGGTTCAGGGAAAACCCGATTTTTTTTTTTTTTTTGAAAAACTGAAAAACACATTGATAACTATTCATCTGGACCGTATACACAAGAGCATCTACAAAAAGTTGCACATAATACAAATATAACATGGTTTTAGCTTTATCAATAAGCACTTTATGTGAGAAGTTAAGCATTTTTTTTATTTCATGTAACTATACTTGTTTCATAATTTTTTTATATTTATAAGAGACTCATTTATATGTTTGTTAATGATTATAGGCCGTGTTCAAAAATCGTCGTCATGGTCTAAGACATGTTTCAGTTGTTGCGACATGACCTGTAATGTTTGTGTAAGGCGTGACTCACGCGACGTACGTTTTTTTACGAGGCGTGACTTTTTTAAGTTTAATTTTTTTAACTTTTGTGTTTTTACACTTTTACAAACTAGTCTAATCACGTCTATCACAATTTCATGGATTCACACATGTCACATATGAACGGTTAAGATGAAGTTGTAAAACTCTTCCAAGTTCTATTTTGAATATTTGATCACAAACTCTTTATACAGTACTGGTTAATATATATATATATATATATATATGATTTATCATCTTCTAATATAATTATATTATTGAATAAAAAATTGAAATATATATGCATATATATAACTAGAGTCACATCATACAAAAAATAAACAATAAGAAAACAGTCAAATCACATATAATTTCACACTAAAATCACAAACAATTCACACGATTTTGCCACGTCATTCGCACATCCTTGCATTTACTGTTAGTGTAAAATAACATGTGATTTTACACGTGATTTGTCCTTTTTCGTATTTCTTATTTGGTTATTTTTCTTGTTTGAACCTCCCTTTACATAACCATATATACATAACATACAAATTTGCCGTCTTGAAAAATGCAACATTTTAACCATGGTGTGTCACACCATTTAAAACCTTGGTTATAGATATAGCTGGATTCAAATAAGAACCACAAATATTTTGATAAATCAAGGACCAACTACTTCATATATTATTTGTCATAATAATCATGAATAATTCTAAAAAAACTCATTTTGAATTTTAGATATAAAACCATTCATGATATAAAAAAATGATATATAAACAATAAATAATATTTATGATTATTCAGGTTTAGTTATCATAAATAATATATAAATTATAATTTGTATCTGAGCATCTACTTTGCATGATCAGTAATTACGATTTATTATGAAAGTAAATCATATATATTACTTTATTATAAATAAACCATTGTTTTTATGGAAATGGAAGTATAAGGCTCCGGTCCGGGCTTATAATAAATGGCATTTTAATTCAAATCAAGCGCCCAATCTGATATGATCCAGAGACGGTCAATATGGGCCCAACATGGCCCGGTTCAAGACCAGGACGGGGACCGATTGGAACCAGGAATCTAGATAAACATCTAAAACATTATAACCTGTAAATTGAAGTTCATGGATGGTCTTGGAACTAAAAAGATAAATGAAAGAAAATCTAGAAAACCTACACAACCAAATTGGCAAGGTTTTCAGAAGAAAAAAAATGATATTCTAATTTAACAAGGCAAAAAGGTTAAAATTGTACGGTAAGAACCCATAGACGGACCGATGACGTTCCACCGTAGTGTCAGTGATTGAACCCAAACTGTTTAAAGGGGTTACAAGTTGGTGCAGCCCAGATTCAAGTTATACAGGCACTCTTTTGCCGCGGTAACGATCAAAGATCTGTGCAGATAAACCAAGTAATTGAACTTTTAGTCCGTATATATCGGAAAATAAATGGGACAGAATTAGAACATATATTATTATAGATACTAAATCCAGATTCTAATATATTAATTATTCGTGAAATTAAAAGAAAAAAGGTATTGGCAGATAAATCCGACCCATTTTGACCCGCCCTAGTATGCACCGGTATAAACCTAAATCATTTTGGACTAGTTACTCAACCCACTCATTTTGCTGGCTATAGTCCATATATACGCCGAATAAATATAACATGAGCATCATTACGCCCATATTTCCCCCTCCATAGAGACCTCACATCGATCCCTGGGAAACTCTCATTAGAGCATCTCCTGTCATGAACCTCGGCTAGATCAAATTATTGTTTCCTACATATTTTATAAACTTCTACTTCCAATCATGAACCGGTCCATGATTTATAAATAAAAATTACCATAAAAGAGAGTGGGTGGATTCATTTATTGAAAATGGCTTTGGGGCCCACAAAAAATGGTGGTGGAACCGGTCCACACTTTTTGTCGTCTCCCAATGGTATAAACTGGTTTTTTCCAAGCTGATGTGGCAATGTAACCCTCGAAGACCCACCCATTCGAGATGCCCTTATATGCCATTGACACCCTACCCATTGTTGTAGAAGTTTTACAGATCAATGACCATTTTAATTCAATAGGAGGCATAAGTCATGTATATGTAGAAAGTTGCGAGAACATAATGATCTCCAGATAAATCAGAAGGTTAAACACCGAGACTGGTGTATACCGCATTTGTTATTACACCAATGTCAAAATTTTGAAATACAGGCTCAACTTTATCACAGAAAAAGATTCTAATTCAAGAAATGAGAATCTCAGTATCAATGACTTCAACTAAGTTCAGAGGAGCAAGTAGATGCAATAAAAAACAACACAGGATAGATGTTATTGGTTCAGCTGAATACCGATGGTGTCAGTTTATGCTTTATGAGGTCTTAATGGACAGAAAGAAGTTCATAGTTATTGTCTCCAACAAACTAAAGGTTGTAAACTGTAATTGCATATGCAGTATACAGCAAATTGAAACTTTTACTAACCCATCACAAATTAAGCTCTCTCTTGAATTGTTGAAATTATCTTAAGCAAGTTAGTTACAGTGCCCACTAGTGTTTAAACCATGAGCATGTCTGAAATCTAGTATTCCATGGCATGAAAAGGATCAAAATCAATTAGAAATGAGGTAAATAGGTTTCAATCTCAGTTCCAAACCCCATGACCCAAACACTACCTTTCTGTTAATTTGAAAACTAATTTCTAGAAAAAAAAACCTAGTTTCAAATCAAGGCTTTCTCAAGTCTCAAAGTAAATTAGGAGTGAATTTTAGTTATAGGAAATGGTTGCAGGACAACCAATTAGAAAGGATGATACTTCACACTGAGAAAGCACGAAAAAGATCAACACGCGCAAGGGCAGAGAAGCATACCGATCTAATGAAAGGTTGTTGAAACACCCAACCGATAATAGGTATCTTCTGCACAAAAACTGAGAGTGTGGGCCAGAAGCCACTGCATAACGTGCATCATAAGTAACTAACTGCAAGTCCTATAAGCAAAATCAAAGGAATCACCTCACGAAAATTATATTAAGCAAACCTGAAGAGGATGATGAATCCATAAGCCTCTGCGGCCATTCCTATTACAGGCCACCCAATGATGACAAAGAAGAAGCCAATACCAAAAGAAATTGTGCCCTGTTCATGCAGTGAAGCAAAAGGCTAAACGGAAATGGAAAAAAATACGACAATACACAAACATGATCCTATGAAAGGAAGGACAGAGAGTGAGTTAGTATTAAAAACCTTAAAGTTGCTGCGTTTCATGAAAAATTGCAAGGAGGGTTTGATCCCGATGGTCATTATCACTCCTGAGATGAATAGGATCTGATTCAGTACCAAACCAAATTGACCCATTGTCAGTAATTGTCAACTCAGCATCAGCAATAGCAGAACATGAAAAATAGAATAAGGAGTGATCAAGGAAATCCAAATAGCAATGAAAGACACCAACATTTCCAATGGCAAGTAGCCCCTTGTCGAAGAAGAAAATGATTCCCAAAAACGAGAAAAAGACACCAAATCCAGTCAATCCCAGTCCTATCTCTGTTTCACCGGGAAAAAGAACTGCTTAGTGGACTGATATTTCCAAAAAAATCAATAAACTTGCAATTAACTAAAGCTGATTAATGCCAGTAACTAGTAAAACATCCTAGTGAAAGATGGAAAGGTAGTGATATATTGACAATACAAATGAGCTGCATTAGATCATATTTGTAACCAAGTTCTGTTCTTTATAGGAGATTAACTAATAGTTCTGGATGAAAGTTGCCATAGGCCCATATCAAATTAAAAGGTTTTCTGGTTTCATTTCAGCTTTGCATGAGAGGTTCTCTTCTTCACAACATTCTTTAGTAAATCCACAAAAATAGAAACCTGAACTATGTCACCACCTGGGACATTACTTATTTAGCTTAGTTCCACAGGGTAATTGATTTCCTAATCAAATATTCTGATAGCAAAAACGAAGACCACGTACTGACCGATCTGGTCACAACAAGGCATCACCCATAATAAGGGTTCTTAGCACTCGCAATATGAGAAACATAGTAAATACAAAATGTTCATTTGTTACCAAAAATCCAGTTACTATTATGCCTCCTGGCACTATGTTATACTCCCTTTGTCCCGTGAAAATTCTAACAATGTCCATTTGGGCATATACCATATTAGTTGCACATTTTCTTATATGGTAAAATTTCAAACTGAAGTTATTATGTTCATCATCATAAATTTAAACTTATTTATGGGGTTGATTTTGGTTCACAAGATTCCCCTTGTTTTTTGTCGTTGAAGGACTTCGACATGTGACTGATAGTCTAAAAGTTTAATAAAACTGTGTGTCGTCTTTATTGGTCTGAGATATATGTAAATATATATACAGAGGGAGAGAGAGAGAGAGGAAATCTTGATGTATGTGAATGCTTTTGGCAGCCACCTTTGAAAAAACAAACAATTATTACTGGTTGGATGAAGAACATAAGAAAGAAGAGTTGAAGCACCAATTTTACATAGAACGGGAAGGCTAATAAAATCTCTGTGACAAGAAGATTGGGGGTGACAATATCTAAAGTTACGATCTCTAACAGAGCCAGCAATAGTACAATCTCAAGCATATTTAAGCTATTACTTATAACTATAGGTTCAGTATTACAGGCCAATCCTAGTCCACTAGTACCAATAGGCAGCAGAGAGGAAGAAGTACTACACCTAGGAATCAACAACACGAAAACTTTGTTATAAATTATCCCTTAGCAGGCTTGGGACTAAATATGCATCTACTGTCCCTAAGAGCCAGGGGCTTGCCCTTGCTTCACAACATGTATCTTCATCAGCTATGAGGAAGCAAGGCTAGAGATCACTATTTGAGACTTGATCACTAGATGTTTCCACCTCGTCTTTGGTCATTTGATCTACATTTCTAATTTCAAACATTGATATTTCTATGACTTCAACTTCAAGCCTTCAAGTTACACGTCATTTATAGCATCACTGTAGGCAATAACAACACTTAGAGTTTGATACGCTAAAATATACAATCAGTTGCAAAACCAAGGACTCAAGGAGGGGATAGTGCTGTCATCTCCATCAAATTTTTATAATTACAGGAGGTGTTCGAAAAATTTAGTATTAAAGTTATAACTTCAACAATCTTTTTCCCCAAAAAATTACAACCGATTTATAATTTCACATCCATTCGTGTATTTTCTGCCCTGCTGTTGGAACCAAATGATTTACAAACTTATCAGCAGAAATTTCCAGTTACTGACAAGTACATGTTTAACTGTATCATAGTTGAATTTATATATGCTATCAATTGGAGATGGTGCAATGGTGCATCACAATACTGCATTTGGTTGGGGTGGGGAGGGGGGATATAATATAAGAACAAGCTGTTGAAAACTCACTTTTCCAGTCGTTCATCTCCAGACCAACCATCGTGTCTATTCAGAATAAATTCTCCAACTAGCAGATCAAATGATTTCGTAGACTGAATCACAAGCAAAGCAACCTAATCGGATGAACAAATCAAGATTAATCCAAAACAAAAAGTCCAATTAAGATAAAAATTTAAAAAAATGACAATGTTCTAATTATTTTGAGGTCACGCAATCGATTAGGGTTTATACACGCAATATTAGGCTCAATTAAGATCTCGAGATCTTACATCCTCTTAACTAGAATCATCAATCTAATGGACACAATAACAAAAGTAGATATCAAATTTTCAAAAACCGTTAACAGTTATCTAAAAACCATGTAAAATTGGATTGCGTAACTTCAGAATTTGTAAAGAGATAAACCTGTTTCAGAGAGGGAGAAGCACAGAGTTACGATTATGGCGGATTACTGCGTGTAAAGATTGGGAAGATCAAAGATGAGATTTAAGTGTTTCTTATTTCCCAGTTTCGTATCATTCTCGTCTATGAACGAATCGATCGTTGTCGATGTGTTAGTTTTTCAAATTTAAGCCTAACACTATTTTAGTCCCTGTACTTTCACTTTTTTCATATAGGACACTTAAGTTCTCTTTTAGTCATTTAAGCCACTGTTCTGCTTATTTTTGTAGTGATTGAGTTATCTAGTCGGTTTCTTTCCGACTTTGTCTTATCCATTCTTGTAACATTTTAGGTCAACCGTACCAGATATTGTCCGTTCTCTCCACACCTGTACTAATCACTGTTTTAAAAAGCGTCTAATAGAGTAGGTATCAAATCTCATCTAAGACAGCTTTAGTTCTCTTCCCAACATATATGGGATCTTATGAGCCATCGCCCTTGGAGGCTTAGCGTCTTCACTGACACACCAGTCCGGTTCCCATCTCTAATATCATTTGTAACATCTCATACTAACCGTACCAGCTATTATCTGCTTTATTCACATCTGGACTCACGATTTTAAAACGTGTATGATATATGGGGTATTCAGTTAATTGGTCTTCAACGTCATGAGAAACAACGCAGTCGAAAACAAATGAAATGATGGAGAACAACGATAACATTTCCTCAGTAATTTTATACTTGGTATTTAACTAGATCTTCTCATTTTCCTTGCCGCTAATGACAATGTCTTCTACTGAGATACATCACCAGTTAACTATTTAACTTAGTGATTTTATGGTTTTTATTATAAAACAATTTAAAAAAACATGTCAAGTAAAATAATAGTTTCACATGTACCAAACTTGTTGTTCATACTGATAACATTACAAAACATACATGTAAACAAACATCATATTGGTGAAAGCAACTCAGTAAAACAGTCATGCATTCATCGAAACATTGCTAAAAACTTATAATATACATGTAAAGATTATTGAAAGCTCTATGTTGAATAGTATGGTAGCGAACGACTACTACATCGATTTGATGTTGTGCAAAAGGCCTTACAGTATGTAGGTCCTCACTAAACTTGTGCTGCCAAAAAGGACCTACATATCGCAAGGTCCTTTGCACAACATCAAATCAATGTAGTAGTCGTTCGCTATCATACTAAACCTGTTTTATTGAGTTATTGTATACATGCACATTCCATATCATTTGAGTTATTGTACAAGGACCTTGGTTGTTCTTACTTTGAAATTTATGCGAAGTGACTTTTGGTTAGTTTTATTACCTTTATAATAATAATTATTAATGTTGAAAAAATACACGAAAACTCACAAATATAAGTTCTTATAAAAATACCATTGTGAACTTTTATGTAGGTTTTTAATTTGACGAGGCAAAAATGACGTGACAAACAAAAGTACAAAAAGTGAGTTCTTATAATAACCTCTTTCTTCAAGCGTCTCAGGTCCTAAAAGTGCATGATTAATACTGCCAAAACCCAATCACTAATGTTGCATTGGAACATACAAAATGGTTCTTATAAAAACTACTTTTGTGAACTTTTATGTATAAGTTGTTAGAAATTCTGGTTTTCGATTGCTTGAATTCCACTGAAAGTCGTGTATTACTTTCAGATTGAAGTATTTCGATGGTACAATCGAAACTTCAATCGGGTACAATCGAAACTTCAATCGGATAAAATTCAGTGGTTTTCCCGAACAGAGAGTTTTTCGTGTTATGAAATATGTGTACCGAAAATCAAATGACCAAATCATAGCTTTTCCCTCGAACGGTCGAAAACTGCCATACGACAGGGAAAAAACTGGGTTTTCAAAACAGAGTCAAAACCGGGTTTAAATTTTCAAATTTGGATTTTTGAATCATTTTTCACAAAACAATATTACCCGAATAAAAAATTTCCAAGCTGACCTGATAGCTTAACCCAGCCAGGGGCTCTGCCCCTTGGACCCCGCCACCGGGGCGTTGCCCCCGGACCCCCGTCGTTTAGGGGCTTCACCCCTAAATTAATATAAACTAAAACAAGTGTGCACTCCGCACCTTCCTTACTTGTTCGATATTTATCATGATTATATTGGTCAACAAATTAATCCCATTACATTTAAATGATATTAGTGATACAAATTACCAACATAAGTTCTTATTTTGATGAGGTGAAAATTATATCACAAACAAAAGTACAAAAAATGATTCTTATAAAAACCTCGATTGAAGAAGCTTCGAATAATGAAATTAGTAGATAAAGATATGGTTACAAAATAATGTAATATTTAAAATATTTTGTAAAAGTTAAAAAAAAAAAAGGAAATTTGAAATAAGATAAAAAAATGTTTGTTTTTGGGGCTTTGCCGGATGCATCTCAAGTGAAAACATGTAATAGTAAGCTGTTGAATTTTGGGCAACGGAGACTCAAAACCGACTGCGAAAAACAGTGAATCTACAACTCAAATCTGCAAAAGTTTTTCGCTGAATCATCAAACTCTAGTACCCGCTTGATTGTTGTGATTTGATCAAATCAAAGTCAAGAAAATGGCACCAGTATCAGCACTAGCAAAGTACAAGCTGGTGTTCTTGGGTGATCAATCCGTCGGCAAAACCAGCATTATCACTCGTTTTATGTATGATAAGTTCGATACCTCTTACCAGGTACCATAATTGCTATCCATACAAGCATTCAATCAGATCATTGTAGCGTTTTGTGTAATTTCCAGATCAAATCGGCGATCTGACTGTACATTGAGTCGGATTCCCGCTTTTTCGTTTATTACATGCAGATCTGTAGTGTTTTTTGCTTTATTTCTGTTAGTACGAGTTTGCAGTTCCCATTTGAAGCATGTTTTAACAATTTTGCAATTTTTTTGAGTTTTAGTTGATTAATTTTATTCAGTGAGCTAAATTGGTGCGGTATCATGATCTAAAAGCCTGCTCCCGTGTTGCTTGTTTGGGTATAAGAAATGAACTCTTTAACTATATGATCATGATCGCAGAAGATGAACACCTTGTTTCTGGTGTTTTCGATCCAAACTTTTATGGTTCATTTTTGTGGTTCGGGATATAAAAGCAACCAGACAACAATGGCATTTACTGTTAGTTACAACACGGTACTTACCTCCTTTCCAACATTTGAGATGCATTTTGACTGGTCCTACAGATTGTCTGTTGGATATAAAATTGATATGAGACCTAATGTTACTTGGAAGATCACAAACAATTCTAGATAGGTCTATAACAAATTCAGAGTCTGTAAATGTTAATTTGATTCCAAAAGTAAAAATCAATATTTAATTCTTGAGCATAGTGTATTCTGTTTGAAGAAAATGGTTCAGTTTGACTGTAATTTTACACTAGCAAATAAATACTATCTTATAAAAGTTCAGGTAAAAAAGGAATACATGGTGAACTAGCATAGAAAGTTCTAGGACCGAAACAATAAGCCTATTTTCAAATTCAATTGAACATTTGGTCAGATTGATTATGTCAAAAGGACTGTCGCCTAAGAACTATCGGAGTACCAGTTGGCAGTTTAGCACTCCGTATTATTTCATTGTTGGACTGGACATGTGACAACAGAAACAAATAAAACACAAATAGGATGTCTTCTGGGTGAATGTCTCATTTATGTTATGTTGCTAAGGGTATCTGAAGTTATCTGGAGAAGATCGGTCTCTATTGTAATTGACGGGTTACCGTGCTACTCTTAAATTGCATGATGATAATAGCTTTATCATGATCATTATGTATTTATAATTTTCTAAATAGAAGGCGTTTAGGGACTTTAGGATGGTCAAATGGTTGCAAATGGAGGGAACTACATTTTATTGCCATGTAGGTTAATCATACTTGATAAAATGGTATTCATGGATACAATCTCTTAAAATTGCAAGGGAAAGACGGCGTATAGACACTTACTTTACACCCTCATAGCCTCGATGCACTTGGGCCACCCTTTTACACTTTGTGCAGTAGTCTTATCATCTATCTGTCTTACTTGATTGTACCATTATTCTTGTGTGACCAATGATCTGCCATGTTATCTTGTCTAAATGACTGAACCATGAGGTCAGCTGTTCCAAGAAACTTCTTAGAAAAACATAAGGAAGTTAAAACAATGATTCTGTGGTATATGAATGTTAATGTTGACATGATCTCGTAAATTGACCTCAAATTCATATACCTTAAACTGAATTATGTTCTACATTGATCAGGCAACCATTGGAATTGACTTCTTGTCAAAGACGATGTATCTTGAAGATCGGACAGTTCGTCTGCAGTTGTGGTAAGATGTCTTGCCATAATAATTCAGACCATTCCATGCAAGTACGCTACATCTGTCCTGAATTTACTATATCTATCCCTAAATTATGTGTCCTGGTTTTTCACTCTTGTGATATTCCTCATTCTTCTCCCCACACTTTTCTTTAGTTCTGCCTTGTTGAGGCCTGCAGAGGGAAAAAAATTCAGAGAGAAATGCTCTCTCTTTCTATCTAACAGTAGTTATATCCTTGCAGGCCTGTGTTTCAACTCAAAAATTGTGTTCCATTATTATTGTTTTCTGCCCAACTGTTAGATGCTTGCTATTGGTTAGGAACATTTATACTAATTCTTACTTAGTACAGATATGATGCTTTAAAATGCAAATATCTTTCTGAGCATTATTACTGGGGAATTCATTTGTCTTGACAATTCTTGCAATTTTCTTTGATGAGTATCTTTTACTAAATTACCTGGTGTCATCTCAGGGATACCGCTGGACAAGAGAGATTTAGGAGTCTCATTCCAAGTTATATAAGGGATTCTTCGGTTGCTGTCATTACATATGATGTTGCAAGTATGAATACTTGAAGCATCGTCTTTTGAAATATATTTAACTCTCTTTCTTCATTGATGGCTTAGGGTCCACATCATATGCTAATTTACAGAATTTCACATTTGGAGTTTTTTTTTTTTTGCTTTTGTATCCATAACCTGAGTAATGTCTTCCCTATTTGTTTCCTGCCTCTTTCATTTAGGTCGGCAGACTTTTCTTAACACTATAAAGTGGATTGAGGAAGTCCGTGCAGAGAGAGGTAGTGACGTTATCATTGTTCTGGTTGGAAACAAGACTGACCTTGTGGACAAAAGGTGATCCTTCCTAACTGTATAATTTGACTAATTTCTACTGGTTATTGATGCTGACAGCTGTTGATATTTTTGTAAATATAAAATTAGATGAACTGCATTCCTTATGTTATTATTTGAGTAAATTATTGAGACCGCCAAACTTACCATCAAAGTCACCATTTCTTTTTTCTTTTTCTAAGATGGAGAATAAGACTTTGGGGAAAGAGGATGTGCATCAACTCACGTTCTTTTTCCATAAAAAGTAGTTGTGGTGAGTTTGGTGGTAAATGTAATGTAGCTATATATGAGCCCATACTAATTTAATTTTTAACCCACAACTAGGTTGAAAGGAGGATCAATAACTCCTTTTTGTAGATCATTCTATAAGAGATTGTAAGTCAGAAGAAAAGAAAGAGAGGAAGAACAATTATTCTCTGGAAGAAAATTGTTGCCTGAATGGCAATTAGGACTAGGAACACCAAGAAGAGGGGATCATGTGTATTCGATGGCCTCTAAAAGAGTAGAAAGATTCTCGTCAGATATTAGCAGCCTAGAGATTCATATTGTGGTACACCTGAAACTCAAGAGGCCACCTAACAAAGGTGAAGTACTCCAAATACTTCATTCCACCTATTAACAACCAAGGAAAGGCCATCATTCAACCATTTTCATGCCTTTGTCCATCTCAATTCTGTAATTGCAATTTTTGACAGCTTATTCCCTGTCTTGCCTTTGAGAAAGAAGTAACAATTCCTTATGAACCCTCTACCAAGAAATTGGTTTGGAACCTTGTTACCCTTCATAAAGTCAAAAAGCTTGTTTCCAGGAACTCACCAGCCTCTATGTATATAAGTTGTACCTGCAAACGACCCAAGCAGAGAGAATGCCTGGTATATAATTATTATAGGCCTTGGAGGCATAAGCTAAAGGCTATATATTAGCTAGCAGAATTAGCGGGTCCTATTGGTCAAGATAGGATCACGTGGCTGCTTATTGGTTATGAGCAAATCCTTATTTCATTGTTTAAGAAGGGCCATGTTTTCCATCATAATTGAAATCAAAGGGTGATTATTGAAGCAACTAGTAAGGTTACTCCATTGTGAGCAAAAGATCATGGGTTTGAGTCACAAAGAACGTGTATTTGCAAAAATGGTAGTGAAAAAACTACATACAAAAACTCCCCTCCTCACCCCTTGTATATCTGAGGAGCCTTGATTCATTCGGCTACCCTTTTTTAAATATATGATCAATTTCTTGTTTTCTATGAAGTACTCAAAACCCATCACTGTGACCAGCTGTTTCCCCTGTGGTTTTCACAATCTTCCCTGATTTTGTCACTCTCCTATTTGCTCTCATTGCTGAGCAAGATTCCATTCACGTATCTTCTAAGAAACAACTGTTGTTTGATTTCTTAATCCATCTCTTCTGTCTTATTTAGAAGCTTTAGGAGGAATGTACTTCATGTTTGGTTTATACATTTGAGCTAGTGCTGGTGATTGGCATGCTATTCAGCAAAGAGAACTCTCCACTGACACTGATTATATTATGAAATAGGGTCCTGCCTGGCTCAGTGCTAACAGCTGAATTCCTCAAAGTGCTACATGTTTTTGTGAGAATTAGCCATTGATTGACGGAATTTCTAAATCAATCATTTCGAACATGTTTAGGATTGTTAAACAAACAATATTACTACTGTGTAAATGAAAACTTTGAGCGTAAGCATTACACAACCATGTGGAACCTCACTAGATTACTCTCCATTTTCCAAAAGGGACCTTTCTGAGGGAAGAGAGGTTCCAACATATATGGAGGAGAGATGGTTGAAGTCAAACCAATGTGGGACTCTAACATGCCTCCTGCAACGTAGGCTACACTATGAGCTAATGACATAAAGGCTCCTGAACTATACATATATTTACATAACATAGCTAACGTTTTAAAGCGAACCACATGAGATGAAAGTTCAATGCTGAACCAATATAAATGTCTGAACCAGTTCTACAAAAGAAAATCCTGCTACACAGAAATGTAATGCTTTGTTTTTCTGCATTGCCCTTCACTGACAACAACAAACCTTTTATCTGAAACTAGTTGGGGTCTTAGACCTTAACCAGAATAGATTGCTGTCCAGTGAACCCAAAAACAAGTATGAAAAGGTGAACTCTTTTAGATTATTGCTTAACTAATTGATGAAACTTCTCATCACTTCATGTTGTCCTTTGTTGATGATTCACAGGCAAGTCTCAGTAGAGGAAGGAGAAACGAGAGCTAGTGAGCTGAAAGTCATGTTCATCGAAACAAGTGCTAAAGCTGGGTTCAACATAAAGGTATCTCTGCACAAAAAACAGACATGCACACACACATTTAGGGATGCACTTAACCCTTACGTAGACGAGTCTTCACATACTAACAGTTTTCATCCTCTGCTGCCTCTGAACATAGAATATAACAATCAAATCAATAAATCTGACATTAGTGTAATATGAAAGATTTACTAATTTTCTAAGGCCTGGTGTGTGAATTGTGATATTCGTTGTGGGGGGATTAAGAGGTGTGGCGAAGTATCTGTGAGAAGGGAAGTTATAGTGAGAAGTGTAAGAAGAGATCTGAACCCTTGATCATTTTTAATCTCATGCCCACCCATGCATTGCACTTTAGAAGGGAATTGATCCGGTGCACCTCATTAGTGTTGACATTCAATTAGGTTGATATAATGTTGGAGATCTCTACCGAAACCCAACCCTAAGAGGTGTTAGTTATCATCGCTAATATAAGTTGGCTAGGGAATGTGAACCAAGCTTGACACATTCTATTGAGTATGACTAACATGCAGGGTTCAAAAAGGCGCGCATGGCGTGCGTTTTTTACAAGGCGCGACTTTTTTCAAAAAGTTAGGTTTTTTGTTTTTTTAATTTTTTTAGCTTTTGTGTTTTTACACTTTTAACTTTAGATTTTACCCTTTTATAGATTTATTTAATCACATCACTCACAGTTTCACGAAATAATACACGCCATGGACTCGTAATTAAAAAGAAGTTGTAAAATTACCCTTATAAGTTCTATTTTGAATATTTAATCAAAGACTATTTTTATAATAATAATCTATTTGATTTTTCTTCGTCTAATATGAATGTAATTTTCTTAATATCATTATCTAATTGAATAATACATAGAAAACATATATATATATATATATATATATTTAGAGTCGGGTTCAAACGAGAACAATACCTATTTAAGAGAATACGAAAATCACATATGATTTTACACTAACATCACATGCAAAATCACATGTGACTCATGCGACTTTGCCCCGCGACCTGAATTCGTGCCAAAGTCGTCCGCAAGGTCCTCACTAAACCTGTGCTACCAAAAAGGACCTACATACCGCAAGGTCCTTCGCACAACATCAAATCAATGTAGTAGTCATTCGCTACCATACTAAACCTATTTTATTGAGTTATTGTATACATGCACATCCCATATCATTTGAGTTATTGTAAAAGGACCTTGTTTTGTAACAGATGGGAGTAATTCTCATTTAAAGAACTTCCCAAAAAAAATATTGCAATTTTGATCGGACAAGGGTAGTAACCAATTAAGAAGACCGATGATATCGATATGTCAAGCAGTTTCTTACAAAGTGAATTTTGATTACAGGCTTTATTTCGGAAAATAGCAGCGGCATTACCAGGAATGGAAACACTTTCCTCAACAAAACATGAAGAAATGGTTGATGTGAATTTGAAGTCTTCAAACATGACTTCTTCCCAGCCGGAATCCGGTGGTTGTGCTTGCTGATACAAAGCCTGTTACTGTTGCTGCTACTGCTTCAACCCGACTCGTGTAAAGTTCCAGATGCATGCTATTCAACTGGTCTGGAACCCCTATGTTTATTGGTTTGTTATACTTGTCATTTACCAGAAATGTATGTAACAATTTTATTTTTTTCCACCTTTCAATCGGTACATTTGTAATGGAAGTAGACCCCCTTTGTGAGTTCTTGAGGTTTAGTTTGTCATGTATAAAAGGATTTGCATAGAATCGCCAAGATTTTGATTCAGTTTTCTATTGATCGATATACAATGTGGTTTGAACCTTCTATTTGTTTTCAGGTGTATGCTAAATGACGGGCATTGGTTGTAAGCCGTGGTTTCGTTTTGCCGGTTGTTCTTCTATATGATGTATATGCAAATATTTTCTCTATGGGTGCAGGCTCCAGGATTTCACCTTTTTACAAATTCCACCTTCGTTTTTTCACGGTTCAATCTTTTATAGCTGAATTGATCTTTTACATCAAATATTTAGGTTCGATCGATGCACAGTTTAAGAAACTGTTCAATTGTTGATTAATTATCTTAACGATGGGGCCGTTTACAGTTTACTAAACGATTACCGAACATCACTTACTTTGCTGGGTGAGCATGACAAGTATTGAGAATCTTACCTGGTAAAAGCTTACAGGATAAACGTCTTTTCCCAACAAATTTGCTGAGGATATTATCCGATAAAACCATATGGGTTGTGGCTTAGACTAGTGGTTGAGGTCATGTGGGACGTGGAAGAATATCTCATTTGTTTAGGGTTCGATTTTAGGCATACACAACAATTGTGGACACTGAGTTTATCAGATTTCGTGTAGTCCTAATTTGCCATGATTAGTTTAGACATAGTCTGAGACACTCTTCTAAAAGTGGTATCTTATTATTGTAATTAAAGGTGATGACCCTTGCCAGATAAGAGGTTATCCGATAAATGTTTGATAAATGATGTTATGAATCCAAATCAAAACCCGTATTTCTTTATAACAATAATAGATATACATAAATCACTTTGGTCTAAAAACTCAACCAAAAAGAAACTTGATAATTCTTGCGAACATGGCAAGAGATGATTGTTATATAACAGAAAATTGACCTAAAGCCAAACTTTTTTTTTTCTTCTCGATAATTCTTGCTGTAGCGTTTTGCTATGAAGTTTTAAGTGTAAAAAAGTGGTTCCACGGGTCTCACGAAAACAAGCTGGTCTCACGTAATCCCAAGTATATATATAGGTGGAGGTTCAAACGAGAACACCTCCATTTTATGAGAATGCGATCACATGTGATAATACATGTGAGGGAACCTGGTGGTGTGCGGACGACGTGTAAGGACGACTTGGCCTGCAACCAAGATCGTGCCAAAAGTCGTTTGCGTCTCTGATTTAGTATCACATATGTATTATATGTGATGAAATAATATTATCACATGCAATTGTCTATAGTAAAAAAGTGTTCTCGCATTCTCGTAAAATGAAGGTGTTCTCGTTTTTTTATAATAACATTAAATATATATATATATATATATATATGTATATATATATCAATTACTTATAATACGTTTTTTTATAATAGCATTTAAATAACAAAATTTTAATAATTTTAAAGTCATGATATCCAAAAACATGGGGAAAAAAATTAAAAGAAATAGAAAAGCAAATAGCCCTTGAAAACAGTTGAAAGGATGAGGCCTTCATTGCCCACCATTCATCTAAAGATAACAAAAACACTCTAAAAAACACTAGTATTCAATCTCCATCATATTCATATGTGCTTCTTCTAATCTGGACTCAAAAACACACACACAAAACACACACACAGAGACTAAATGGCTCTTAGAATGTGGGCTTCTTCCACAGCCAATGCTCTAAGGCTCTCCTCTGTTTCCAGACCTCATTTCTCCCCTCTTTCCAGATGCTTCTCTTCAGGTAATTTACATTTCTACCCTTTCCATTTATCTCTCTTGGGAGACTTTCATATGTGCATTGGTGCGTTGCAGTTCTGGATGGGTTGAAGTATGCAAATTCACATGAATGGGTGAAGCATGAAGGCTCTGTTGCTACAATTGGTATCACTGACCATGCTCAGGTTCTTTCCTTTTCTTGTTATTTCTGGGCTGTATTCGACTCAAGCCGAACCCAACTTACCAGGTTCGGGTCAGTAGGCTCGGGCTTGCTTGAGCTCGAAAAAACTCAGGCTCGGGTTTGGCTTGGCTAAAGCTCGAGTATTGGTTTGGGTCGTGTATGATGAGTTGGTACCAACTCATATATACCTGATGACTCGGGTTTCTTAGCAGCTTAACAAGACTCACAACTTATTTGGTCGGTTATACATGGTTGTTTGGTAGTGGCTTTAACAATATAGAAAGTGACTTATTCAATAAGCTTCTAGGAAGAGTTTTATGTAGAAAGTCAAGTTTTTTTTCAAACTTGTCCCTCCCAATTAGAAAAATGCTCATTCCATCTATAAGAAAAGCCATCCTAAACAAAAATCTTCCCGATCTATATAGACTGATCAATACAAGTTTTAATAGAAACCAACCAATCAGCCCCTTAATTTCAAAAGACCCATGTTTATCTCTTGTATGAATCATTTTTTTATGTTTCTAATTGACAACTCATATCTCCAAGGGGAATATTTACAAGGTTTATGTAAGGGGTATCTTGCATGAACTTATTGGATTATGAGATGCAAGGTGTTGTGCCATAGTCTTAAAATCACCTTTCTAATGTGGCCTAGAATTCTTGTTTTCAATTGGAACACAAATGCAGGACCATCTTGGAGAGGTGGTGTTTGTGGATTTGCCGGATGTCGGTGGCTCGGTAACCAAAGCCACCGGATTCGGGGCAGTGGAAAGTGTTAAAGCCACCAGTGACATTAACTCCCCGGTCTCTGGAGAGATCGTTGAGGTCAATTCAAAGCTCTCCGAAACTCCCGGTTTGGTAATTATCGACCATCCAAGCTTTATCTTCTTGTTTCTCGTTTATGTTTTACTCTTGAAGTCAAATGAATTATTTTTTCGACTCAAAGTACATATAAAAGTCCCATTGATGTTTGATAAAAACTTGATAACCACATTAAATTTGATTACAGACTTTACGAGTAGAAAGAAATTTCTATCGTAATTGTAAAATGTGTCGGGTTTTCAGTTTGAAAAATAGTTCATTTGACCTTAAAACATTCTCCGTGACTAAGAAATGAACTTTGTGACTGTTAAAGATCAATACGAGCCCGTATGAAGATGGATGGATGATTAAGGTGAAGCCGAGCAACGCATCGGAGTTGGAAGCTTTAATGGGTGCGAAAGAGTATACGAAATTCTGTGAAGAAGAAGACGCTTCTCACTAGACTTGAACATACACAACGTCCTATGAATTTTTTTCGTTTCTTCCTCAACTTCGACTAACTGAAATCTCAGTTGTTTCAAATAAATCATATTATTCGAAGATTTGATGTCGTTTTATTTATAAATCATGATACGGGTTGATATATGTTCAATCTAGGTACGTTTGTACCTTTGTTTTAAGGTAATGAGTTATGCTGGTCATTTTCACCTGAAAGATTCAGTTAAAAAGAATCTGTTCGTGTTCAATCAAAGAATCTTATCATTTTCAAGTCCCCTCAGGGTCGGTTAAAGATTTACTCTAACGGACTGTTTGATAATGGCTGAATGGTTTAGTGAAGAATGATTAGGATGTTTTTATGATGTAGTGCAAAATAAATATAATTGTTTAATAATTGTTCAGAATGAAATTAGGGCGTTGAATGGTTAAGGGAGAACCAAAATACAAAATCATTCAGAGAGTTTAATAACCATTAAGAGACAGACCTTTTTTTCCCTCTTAATAGTTCCATTAAAAAGCAGTCTCTGAATCATTAAAAGATGAATCATGTTTGACAAAAAAATCTATCTTTTAATGGTTCTAAAACCCTCTGAATGATTTTGTATCATAAGTCTCCCTTAACCATTTAGCACCATAATTTTGTTGTAAATAATTACTAAATAATTATATTTCATTTTGCATTATATCATAAAAGCCTCTTAATCATTCTGCACCAAACCATTCAGCAACTGCCGATAATAAAACAATTAAGAGGTAAACAAACAACCCCTGACTCTTAAGTTTAAGGTTCTATAGATCAGACGAGTTCCATGCAATCTGGTTCAAGAGTTAAAATAAATAACATATACTACAATCACAGACTTAAATATTTATATGGTATTAAAGTCGAATATACGTAAATAGAAATATTTTGTTTTTTATGTTCATAGCATCATTAAAATGTAGGAAAAATGATGTACATATATTTCCATCCCTAGTCCTTAGAGATTGATTTCGTCCTTTTTAATCTATATTTAGACCAAATTTACGTTTTCGACATTATGAAAAATACCATAAACAATAAAATTATTTATAATCACCGCCCATATTTATATGATCAAAGTATTAGGTCTGATATTAGCACCAATGTGTCGAAATGATGGATGTCTTAAACCTCGCCATTGTCATTGCCATTGTTCTTGTTATCGGCACAATCCATGGATGGGACATGGGAAGCGATAGATATCAATTTGGATCTCAATTCATCGACGACCTTCTCAACTTTATTCTCAAACGCGATGTTGTTCTCACCTTTTGGGATTTCAGGTTCAATTAAGCATGAATTGCTTTCAGGCACACAATCAGAGATGGCGATAAGGTATTCTCTCGCACGCTCTACTAAAGCCTCCTCTGACTGTGGTCTATTATCCATATAATGTTGTATGGTTATCTTGAGAATAGTCTGAAAATGCTAGAAATGTCACTAGGTCAGTATTGCCAGATAAAGAAACAAGGATTAGGCCCCGATTTAACACAAAACATAATATTTGATTTCTAAAACATGATAAACTGGTTTTAACTTCAGAACTGACGATGACAGTTCTACTTAGTACGTATACTTAGATTTTCTATTTATATTATTTTGATACCGCAAACAGTAGTATTTTTTTGTTTGATAACAAAATCAAAACAAGTTTTGCATAATAAGTTTTTCTCGATAAGTTGAAACTTTTTTTTCGATGACTCTTTTAAAAAGTAATTTAATAAACTCCACACGTTTTCATATGATGTCAAATTCAAAATTTACCATTCTAAAATCTAAATAATCACACTCTAGAACAGGTTGCGGCCATCTAGCTATTTGGACTTTTACTCGATATATGTAAGAACCAGTCTTCTCTTCTTAAAAGATAATAATCAAGTGAGGTTCAGCGTATTTTTCAATTAGATTTTGTGTCCTAATTCACACGAAAATGGCATAGATAAGAGCCATAGAAATTCAAATTGATTGGAGTAAATCAAATTGTGGCTGGAATTCAATATGACTCGGTTTTCTGCAATCTACATCCAATTCTAGACAGGACAGAGTAACAATCTAGGTCAAGGTATTTCTGTTTTTGACTTTTCCGTCAAAACTATGGCTTTTGGAACCCAAAATTGACATGATTTTACTCCGGCATTGGGATTCAATTCGTATAACGTTTTTGCATAATTACATAAGATGCTCTTGTTTTCATTAAGCTTCAGAAATTCGATCTCAGTTCTCGATCTTAAATTTGACTATAATATATATGTTAAAACAGAGGAACACATATCGATAAGTCCATGGTTTCCTCGTTTTCATCGCTGTTCTGTGTTCAGTTTCTCAAAATTTACAACAAAACAAATTCAATAAATGATCAAACCAGATTCAGACGTAAACAAAGTTAATTGTTAAAGTAACAAGCAAAACTGTTGAAAGTTGAAGCCAAACGAAAACTGTTTCCAAACAAAATCAACTGAAAAACAGAAGATGAAACGAAAAACACCGATAAACACAACAATCAATTAGAAGAGGAATCATACCGATCTAAAATTCCGGAGAAAGAATACGCAGATCACGAAATAATGGGAACAATTTCGTATTGGAATCATGGAAGTGAAAAGAAGAGATGAGGAGATGAAGAAGAAGAGCATACCTAAGTTATGGCGATCAACGGTGAAGCAACAGCGTTCGATCTCTGCCTCCGTCCCTCTGTGCTTGGGTGTTGGGAGAGGCGTTAGGTGAAAACAGGGGGAAAAGGGAGGCGCATAAGAATGAGTTTTGGTCGGTGAGAGATTTTCTTCCGCATTCTTTGTACGCAAACGCCTTTTTTTCCAACATGTAACCTACTCATCATATTTGGATAACTTTGACTTGCAATTTTGACTAGAATTTAAGCAAAAAATTCATAAACGTTGCTCAGTATCATCAGGGGTGTTTGCGGTTCGGTTTGGACAGTTTAACCCCTCAGACCACAAACCAAATCGTAATGACGGTTTATAAAATTTCAAACTGAGCGATTTAACATCAAGTGCCCAGACCGGTCAAACCAGATCATGAAAATGCGGTTTGGTCGGATCGGTTTAGACGATTTAGACCTTTAATGGACTTTAAATATTAAACTTAAAAAACATATATAATTTAGAATTTTAGATTAAATATCCATTTTAACAAAACAAAATATCCAAACAAATAAATGTAGTAATTAAGCAGCTCTTGAGTCCAAAATCCAAGCAATCCAAACTCCAAACAAATAAATATATAATACATATTAGAAAACAAAGAAATTAACAAATTTACAACTCCACAACGAGTATTGAGTAACAAAATCCACGACTTCACAACCTTCAATCCTTGACCAAACAAAATAGAAGACAAATCTTAGTTGGTTGAATCACTTGGTTGATGTCTTTATAATGTGCGCCGAAATCAAACCATGGATCAGGAAAGATCGATAAATTGATAGAGTTCTTGAGGGATTTCAAAGTTTGGAGACCGTCAATGTCAAATGTGTCGATATATTTACTGGTTTAGGGATTTTAGGTGGTGATCCATTTGAATTTAATTATGTTAGATGTTAGGCTTTATGCTGGGCTTAAGATATATTTGGGTCATAGCCCATAAGTTAAAAAAATTAAGCTTGGTAATACTAAAATAAATAAATAAATAAATACATACGTATTTGGCGGTCGATTTGGTCCAAACCGTTCAAAAAAGGTTCCAGACCGCAAACCGGACCGGACCGCCCGCTTTTGCTATTTTTCAAACTAGACCAAACCGTCAGACCGCTCAAACCGCCAAAAACGGTCCGGTTTGACTTGGTTCGGCAGATTTGAGCGGTCCAACGGTTTTTTTGAACACCCTTAGTATCCATCTTAACCGTATTATACCAAACCCGTCTTTAAGGGGTGTTTGGGATTGCATATAAAAAAACTTATTGACTTATTCCGGTGTGTTACCAGTAATAAACACTTTTGAGTGTTTGGATAAACAACTTATACCGGTGCCAAACCGGTAATAAGAAGTTTTTGAAAAAATTAAATCATTCTGACTTATAATAAGTTGATAAATGTTTTTGTAGAATAACATAAATTATTTCAAATAAGCAATCTCAAACACCACCTAAATACACCAATGTGAGGGGTATTTTTCATCTTATTCAATGGTTGAGACTAGTAAGAAACATGCGACTAAACTCAAGATTTGTTTTATATTTAGACAAATTCAGTCTCACCCCTTTATTTTCTATTTACTTTATAGCCGTTTTAGGAAGCTATTTCACTAAATAATCAAATCATTCCACACAAGGCTTACACATATGAATAAGAATTGGTTTTAGGGGGAAAAAAGAGGTTTCTGCATAAGGATCCATAAACCTTACGCATACGTAAGAATTTTTATTTTTTTTGGGTCGAAAACCAATCCTTAGGCATATGTGTAAGTTTTTCTGTGTAAGGATTGACTATAAAGTGAAATTGGGTCCTGTAATAGCTATAAAGCGAATTGATTTTGGTAAATTGGCTATTTTTGTCAATTTCCCGTGAGAAAGTGGGTATGTTACTCGAAGAAAGAGATTATGGGGGAAATTGACACAAGCAACCAACTTGTTAATTGAGAAGGAAAGAAAGGGAGAACCGGAAATAACCTCATGTGTGAAGCATGTGAGAGACCTAAACGGCCAAACATAGACGGCATTAGAAGGATGGACGAAATCTGTTGGCATTTCACAAACGTCAGGGACGTAAATCCACAAAATGAGGTTAAAAGAAGAGAAGAAAGCAAGGGTAGCAATGGAAAAATCTTGCTTATGAACGGTATCGATGACCATCTTTGTCAAGTCCATAATCGACTACATATTGAATCAGAGCCAAAAAGTTGATATACCAAACCACCTTGACCTCTTGATCGAATCAGAAGCCACCTCCGAATTTCGGTTCATCTCATGGAGCTGCAATCAAACACATGCTTTTAGATAACCCAAATTTCATTATTCAGTTTTTCGTTTTATTTTTTCAGACTTGCTTTTCTTGGGTGTTTTATCAAAGTCATGTTGCATGTATTTACTACTTTTGAAAAATTGTCGTTTTTCCAAGTTGGACTCAAGTTGTTCACTTACATTTTATTTTAAATGCAGATATAATCTATATATACGTTAAATATATTATATATTCATTAAACATATTATTTACCCGGTAAGAGCGATGATAGGGATAGAGAGTCTTACCTGGTAAGTGATGGTGATGACTCTTACTCGGGTAAGCGTTTACTAAGGTAAATTGTTGCATACGATACCGTTTTAATATACTACAATCTTATCTGGTAAAATAAATTATAGTATTGACTCTTATAGGTAAACGTTTACCGGGTAAGTATTTGAGTAAACGGCCTCTTAGTTAAAGCCCATTGAGACTTATGATTTCGATGTTTTAATTTGGATGATAGATCGAGAATTAGAGAAACTAGACATTTAATCATTATTTTTTAATAAGAAATTCATACTTTAGAAACCAATCCTTTTTATATATTTTGTACTTTATTTTAAAGAAATACGTATTTTGTACACGGGCCGACGGCGGAGCCACCTTTCCGGAAGTGGCATTAATTCGCCCTCAAATTTCAAAAATAAATTTGGAGTGATTACAGATTTGGTTTCTAAGGGTGTGTTTGGTACGTTGGACAGAGTGGGACAGGACAGGAAAGAACACAATTGTCCTATGTTTGGTGTGGTTTTTTATGTGGGACTAACTAGAACTAACTAGAACAAGGGTGGGACAAGGTAGTCCACCCTTTACCCCTGGAACTAAGTAGAACAAGAAATTTTTTACCACTTTACCCTCAAAAACCTCATACGCATAATGTGACCGGCTCATACTCCTCTCCTCCATAGCTTCCACCACTCAACCGACGACCGGTGACGGCGACTTCCGATGGCCACCGCTGCTGCTTCTCCGATGGACGGAGCCAACCGTGGGGTGCCGAACGACGACGGCTGAGGAGATAACGACGACGCCGATGCATGGCAGGGTTGTCCCTTTCTTCTTCTTCTACAACCTTCTTCATTAAACTATCATCTTCACCTAGTAACCTTCTTGTATCGTTGCCGCCATGGTTGTCCCTTTCTTCTTCTTCTACAACCTTCTTCATTAAACTATCATCTTCACCTAGTAACCTTCTTGTATCGTTGCCGCCATGGTTGTCCCTTTCTTCTTCTTCAACTTCTTCATCGTCGTCGTCGGCTACTGGTACAGACTCGGATTCCCCCATTAAAAACCTGCAATTTCTCTAATACTCCGATGTTTCGGATCTACCCAGATCAAAATAGTTAAAGAGATGAAGCATAATTGAAAAGAGACACAAGTGGGTTTGTTCTCTTTCTTTCACCTAGTTGGTGAACAGCTTTTCAAAGGAAAGGGTAGAATTAACAATAAATGCATATTTAAATAATATAGTTGGAATGTGAGTTTTTTTTTTTGGGTATTTTTAAATAATATTTGTAAACATTTATATTGATTATTTAGTGAAAAAACACTAAACAGTTCATCGGGGGTAAATTGGTCATTTTAACCAGTTCTGTCATGTCATGTCCTGTCTTACCAAACGCTGAACAGCTGTCCTGTCCTGTCATGTCCCATCTTGTTCTGTCTTGTCCTGTCTGCGTACCAAACGCACTCTAAAGTATGCAAAAAATTACGGATTTTGTCCCTTTAACTTCATTATTACAAAAGAACCCTTCACATGTTCAGTTTGTTATGGATTTGGTCCTTTACATTAACGTCTGTCCAAATTTGTCCGTTAAAGTCGAGGACATTATGGTTATTTTACTTTTAATTCTTTATTTTACCATTTTTTTTTCAATTAATTATACCATTTTCTTGAATATTCATACCCTCCAACTCTAATCATCAAAATTCATGAGATTCATAAATATTCATTTTAAGCCACATATTTTATTTAATTTATTATATTTCCTTAAGTAATTATGAAAGGGTGGTTTTGTAATTTGATATATTTTATCCACTTGAAAACTCGAATCCGCTCCTAGATCAGTTTTAAAGGGGGCGATTTTTGGAGTTTTGACCTCATTTTTCTTCCTCTCATTTTCTTTCTCCGTTTTCATTTACTCCGAGTTTACGAGCATTAAATACAGTTCTTCAACCATTTCAGGAGGATTAATCATCATCAAAGCTAAGGATTCAAGTCTTAGGTTCAAGATCCAAATGTCCATCCCCATTCAAGGGGTTTCTTGATTTTTCTAAATTTCTCTCAAAATCTAGCATTGTGAGTTCATCCTACACTTTTATAAAACCATATGCATGTTAAAATACTGTATTTTAGTTTCTTAGAGTTGACCTTTCAAGTATTTTACATTTGGTTGATTTTGGATCAACAAGGTCAAATTTGGGATTTTGGGACTTTATTTCTTTTGATAAAATAAGTATGGGGAATAATTTGTATATACGTTGTAGATGTTTATTTTAAGGTATTGATGAGTTTTGGAACTACAGATTATAATTGATCTTGACTTGGTTTTGTTGATAAAAATAGGAATTTCGTCCACTTGGTGACTGACCGTTTATACATGATTGTTCATATGTTGGGTATGGTTTCGTATATCTAGAAGATTATGTATATTAGATTATAATGCAATTGATCCATATGCATATAAGTCGGTTTTATTTTATGTGTATGGGATGATATTCCTAATTGAAACTTGAAATAGGCATTTGGTCTTCATAGGCAATAAGGTGTGGGCTCTTGGAGCGGGCATCGGTCATTGACCAACATAATGTAATTTCCAAGTGAACGAGCTTAACTAGGAT